TTCTAGAAAATGGAAATAGCTATAGTGACAGGGAGCAGTTCAGTGTTGCTTGGGGAGAGGGGAGGAAGAGAGGGGTGAGAGAGGGGCAGGAGGAAGTGTTTGGGGTGACGGATCTGTACGCTGTCTTGATTGTAGTGATGGTTTCATGGGTGTACACATATGTCATTAAATTGTGCAGCATAGGAGAATGACCCTGAGAGAGAGGAAACAAAGGTGGTGAGCCCAGTGATTGCTCCAGCTCACTGTCTGTAAAGAGTTTCCAGGCCTCAGCATGGAGAGAAAAAACCCAAACCAAGCCCACGGTCTCTCTGAGATGAGAAGAGAGAGGCTGAGTGGCTAGAATTGACAGGAGAGAGTATTAGAGGGGAAGGAGTTGCAGAGAGAGCTGCAGAGGGTCCCTTTTGAGGCTTCAGCTAAGTTCTGCTCTGTGCATGCATGTGAGGGAAAGGGAAAGACCCACAGGATGGAACTGATGGAACCATCCCTGGGGCTCACGCAGGGCTGAGGAGAGTTCACGTTCCCAATGGCAGTGCAGAAAGACCGCCTAACCACGGCTCATCCAGTAGAGTCCTCGGAAGCGGATTGCCTCGGCAGCAGGGCCAAGTGGGCCTGAGACTGAAGGCTGTTCTGGACTAGCACCAACAAAGCTCAAAAGTAAGCCTCGAAAAGGATCAAACTGATTTCCAGTAACTTAACCATGTTCCAGGAAAAAGCCCAAAAATACGGAAAGGAAAAAAAATTCAGCATCCAACAATGTAAAATTTACAGTAACCATCAACCAATCAAAAATTACCAGGAATGCAAAAAAAAAAAAAAAAAAAAGGAAAACATGATCCAAAAACAACCAGAAGAAAAATCAATGATAGAAACATAGCTAGAAATTATACAGATGAGAAAACAGACAAGAAGAAATCAGAAGGAAAATTATAAAATATTTTAAATAAAAGTAAAACCACACATATCGAAATTTATTGCATGCAGCTAAAGCAGTGCTTAGAGGAAAATTTACAATACTAAATTCTTATTTTATAAAAGAATAAAACTTTAAAACTCAGTGACTGGTATGGGGAGGGTATGACTGAAAAGGAAGAGCATGAGGCAATTTTTTTGGTTGCTGGAACTGTAACACATCTTGATTAAGGTGGTGTTAACACAAATCCATACATGTGCTAAAATTCATAGAACTACATACAAAAAGAGTTAATTTTACTGAATGTTAACTAAAAAGAAAAATAAGCTGATTGGCTCAAAAAAAAAATCAATGATCTAAACTTCTGTCTTAAGAAACTATAAAAAGAACAGTAACAAATCTGAAGCAGCTAAAGATAAATGAAGATAAGAACAGAAATTAATGAAATATAAATCAGAAAAACAATGCAGGAAAATCAAGGAAGCTGACAGAAAGTTCTTTGACAGTATCAATAAAATTAATATGAAATAGGGGCTGGCCCCATTGCCGAGTGGTTAAGTTTGCGCGCTCCGCTGCAGGTGGCCCAGTGTTTCGTTGGTTTGAATCCTGGGCATGGACATGGCACTGCTCATTAAACCACGCTGAGGCAGCGTCCCACATGCCACAACCAGAAGGACCCACAACTAAGAATATACAACTATGTACTGGGGGGCTTTGGGGAGAAAAAGGAAAAAAATAAAATCTTTAAAAAAAAAAAATTAATATGAAATTGATAAATCTTTAGCTAAACTAATCAGGAAAAAAACCCGAAGACCTAAATTATCAATACCATGAATTAGAAAGGGACATCACTACAGATCCTATAGACATTAGAAAAGATAATAAAGGAATATAAGAAACAAGTTTATGCCAATAAATTCAGCACTTCAGATGAAATGACTAATTCCTTGGAAAAGCCAAGCTACAAAGCCCACTCAGGAAAAAACAGACAAGCTTCAATAGCCCTATATCTACTGAAGAAATCGAGTAGTCAAAACCCTTCCCTCAAAGAAAGCTCCAGGCCCAGATGGCTTCACTGGTGAATTCTATCAAACAGTTGAGGAAGAAATAACACCTGTTCTACAAAAACTCCTCCAGAAAATTCAGGAGAACGGGATACTTCCCAATTCATGCCATGAAGTGAACATAACTCTGAGAGCAAATAAGAGAATTACAAAGAAGATCACAGATTAATATCACTCATGAATGCAGATGCAAAAATCCTTGACAGAACTTTAGCAAATCAAATCGAGCCATGTATGAAATGTGCCTGCCACATTAGGTGGTACTGAGAGTGACTGCCACCTGCAGAGATGAGAGAGAAAATCCTGGAGAAGATGACTTCTGAGTGGACCCTTGACAGGCAAGCAGAATTTCAATAGGTGGTGATGTTGGGGCAGAGAAAATGGCAGGAAAAAACATAAATGAATAACAAGAAGGGGGCAGACAAGCCAGGAAGAGGCAGGCATGCCAGCACCAACCAGGGTGGCTGCCAGGCTCCCAAAGACACTCCTTTCTCAGGGAACACTCCCAGAGACAGAGCTGAGCCCCCTGGGGAGCTGTGCCCTGACCTCCCAGCCATCACTGACTGTCCCAGAGTTGGACACACCACCAAACTGGAGCAATCAGATCTCTCGTCTCAGAATGTGAAACCTGAATGGAGACAGACTCCCAGCCTGCGATCTGCTGGGGCCAAATCAGGATCCACCTTGAGGGAAGTCCCTGGAGCTGGTTGGTTCCTGCCCTGCCCTTGGCTTTCCAGCAACTTCCTGGATCCTGTGAGCTGCCCCAGGGGCCTTCCTATAGACTTTCCCTTTTAGTCAAGTTAATGAAAGGTGGTTTCTGTTGCTTGCAACCAAAAGAACTTTAAAGAGCTCAGTGGGTACCATGATAGCAACCACACGTTCATCCCTATGAAAGAGTTCTATCACTACATAAAAATGTGAACGCCTGGGCCAGAGCCCAGCGTCTATGAAGGGAAGGCAGGAGAATCAGATGGAGCTGGAATGGCAGGTGCAATCTGGACACTCAAAATGACAGGTACAGGAGGGTGGAGTTCGAGGGAAGGAAGAAGGCACCAGAGGTTCCTGAACAGGGGAGGACACGGTCCACAGAGGATGGCCTGGCAGTGCTATGGAGGACGGGTTATAAAACGGCATGTGTCCGACCCCTCGGGGAGGCTGTGATGACAGCCACCGGAAGGACGTGCCCAGATCTCACATCTCAGATGTGCTCTCACGCCTTTGTTCTCGCCCCCAGCACCTACTGAGAGCCAGGCGCTGAGCTGGACCCAGGTAAACTCTGCTGATCAGACAGGCTGAAGAGGGAGAAGTGACAAACTTGATGACTAAATGCTGGGATCAAAGGAGGGAAGGAGCTAAAGGTCATGGCAGTTTCAACCTTGGTTGGCAATTTCAACTGACCCAGAAATGGCAGAAGTGTGACCAGGTCCGGGTATATTTCTGGGGGATGAGTGTAGTTTACACAGACTGTTTCAAGGTGCTGCTGAAACTCCCAGGGAGGAGTCTCCAGCATGCAACGGCCGGAGTTCAGACTGCAGGGCCAAAACGAGGAGGGAACACAAGGGGGGCCGGGCGATCCACGGGTGGGAGTGAGTCAGTCTCACAGCATTCTGTTTCCTCCCCGTAACTGAGGGCTCCTGCGTGCTGGGCACCCAGCCAGGAGCTGGACAGGATCGCAGAAGCCCTGCAGTGGACGAGACTGTGGAGGGAAGCGTCAGCAGGATTCGGAGCCTGCTACGCTTCTCAGGCTGAGAAGTCTCAGGCTGGATCCACAGACTCGCTGTGAGCGCCATGACTCACGCATGAGAAGAGCCGTCATGGTCGGTGCCTTCTACAGTAGGAAAAGCCTGGAAATAGCCTCAGTGTCATTCAATCAGGGGATGGCAGAGTCAACAATGGCATAGACACACGATTAAAAAGAACAAGGCAGTCCTACAGGGATGGGAAATGACATGCTAATACGTGATGACGTGAGAAAAACAAGGTGCAGAGCAGACAAGCAGCACCTCCATTTCTGTTTGGGGGGCAGTTGCAGAACTAAAACCACACGTGCTCGTACTTTGCTCTGCATGGATGCCTTTAAAAAGACACAAGAAGCTGGTAGCATGAACCCCCTCTGAAGAAGAGTCGGAAGAGAAAGGTGGGAAGGCAGGCTTTTTCACTATATATTCTTTTGCCACTAGTCAACTTACTGATCACAATTAATGATTTAAGAATAAAGAAATACTTCATTATGTTGAGTGCTTTTTAAATGTCTCTAGCCATACGCTGTCTTAGTAAAACCCACCTCCACCCACCTCCCAAGAAGCTTAAGAAAAACCTACGAAAACGTCACTTTGATGCAAACCTTCATCTGGGCCAAGCCCAGCTCTCGGCAGGGCCAGAACGAACATTCTTGATTGCTTCTTCGAAGAGCTTCCGACATGGAGGTTTCAGAACTGGCCCGTGTGAAGCCAGGTGGGGCGCAGGCCAGCGGCTGCTCCCAGTGAGGAAGTGAATGAATGAATCCTAATCGCGTCTGTCAACTCCGCGGAGGCTGACGCTGACCACTCAGCCCCAACAGGGGAAGCAGCGAACCACACCTTTCTTCAGAAAGGAAACCTACGCTTCCACACAATCCACCCAGAGTCTATTTTAGTTCTGAGCCCAGATCAAGAACATCAACTCTTATAAATAGCAAAACCAAGATTACAATTTGACTGATTTCGGTTCTGATGTTAGGAAAGAGGTCGGCTGCTAAGTCAGTTGTAAAGCGAGGGGTCGAAAGGAAACCACAGTGTGAAGACAAGTCACATTGGGTTAGTCAACAGTTGAACCCTTTTCCCCCCATGTTGCCTGACTAACCAATTCCTGTGGCTTTAGTTTGTAGAAAAGCACCTGAGAAGTTCTAACAAGGCTGAAGAGAAGTTTTGTGGGAGTCCGCCGAAAGCAGAAAGGCAATTCCTCAAGGAAGGCAGCTTTCCTTTTTCCCTGCGCGGAGCAGAGGGGTGGGCTGCCCGGCAGGCGGGCGGGCGCGGCACGCAGCTCACCTTTGTTGTGAGACATGGCGTAGAGGAGGCAGAGCACGAAGAGCGCGTGGTAGTCGTCGTCCGGGCTGTCCAGGGCATGGTACACCATATCCAGGAAAGGTCTGGAAAAGAGGAGGGGCATGCCTGAGCCTCGTGGTGCACACGGTGAACACCTCACTGCTCCCACCTGCATGTGGGATGCAAGCGGCCTCTGCTCTTATAGCTCTGCCACCAGCATGCAGCGAGACCTGTGTGCCCAGTCCAGCACCAGGCATTGAGGACACAAAGACAAATGAGGCACAGGCTCTGGCCATGGGAAGCTGCTGTCTCGAGGGGAAAATGACTAGGGAACAGACCACCTTATCACTCAACGATTGGTCACCAGCTGTCCCAGACATGGGGGATAAATGATACAAAGTGCCTGCTCCTGTGGCACTCCCACGCCCGTGGGCAGAGAGCGCACAGACAGACCACATCATCACTTCCAACAGTGACAGGAGAATGGAAACAGGGTCACGTGACAGACATCAGGACCAGACAGGGCACCACCAAATCCCAACAACTTCAGAATGTGGGCCTGGAGCCAGACCACCTACGTTCAAATTCTGATTCTATCTCCGCTGAGTGGCAAACCCGTGGGTAAGTTACCTGAAATCTGTCCATGTCCCCATCTGTAAGATGAGGATTAAACCCGTACAGGGTTATTGTGAGGATTCAGGCGAAATGATGACTAAAAAGGCATTTAACAGAGGGCCAGGCATATAGTGGAAATGCTAGTCCACGGAGCTGCTATCTGATTTCTGTATCAAATGTTCCAAGGGCACCTCTCCGGGATCTCACTTTGGCAGGTCCTGGCCCAGCAATGCCTTGGGCCGACTTTCCCTCACTGCTAAGAACTGATATGAGGTCTCCCACCTCTGATACTTGGTGGGTGAGATCTACAGAATGGCTGCAAGTATCACAAACTGCACACTCCAAATGCTGCCCTCCCAGGTGCAGGGCCTGGCCCGGAAAGTCTTCAGCACAAGGATAACAGAACACGCGCAGATCTGGCCTGGAGGCAGGAGGCTCTGGTCCAGTGACCATCTATGGCAGCCCCTCTGGACGTCAGGCTGAAGCCAAGAGAGCAGAGCGCCTCGATACGTCACCAAGGGCACACTTAGCCCCTGGAAGGACACACAACTGCTGTCAATATGAGTGGTCCGGAGGACTGAAATGGTGTGGCAGAGGAACAGGGAGACTAGTCACTGCATAAGCTTGCACAGTGTTTTGAATTTTGGACTCCATAAAAGTACCAACGATTCAAAATATTAAATTGAGAAATGCAAAAGAGAAAGTAGTGAAAATGTACTTGTCATAACATTTCAAATAAACACGTGACACACAGAAATTAAAGGAAGAAACTTAGAGGGGATGTTTACATTCGGGCTCTGTTTCTCCTGAGCCCCAGATGCTCTTGGCCCCGAATTGGGCATCACCTTTCAGATGCGTGAATAGTTTTGCTGTATGTCGATTTGGGTTTTTGTAAGGCCCCAGGGATAATACGTGCAAACTGAAGAGCAGGATAAAGTACAAAATGTTTTCTTGTAAACCAGCTGCTTGGAATTTGGATCGTATTTTCATTTGGGAATAATATGAATAACCAAACGCCCAGTGGCCGAGGGAGGGCTGGGTGGATGCACCATCTTTTATGAGATGAGGTATTAGGAAGCCATTAGCATTTTGTTTACTCAGAGTACAATAAAGTGAAAAAGATGCTTGGGATTTGACAATAGAAGAAGAAGAAGAAGAAGTAACGGGCGTGGGATAGTATAAATTATTGGGGAGGAGGAGGGTAGAATTCCCACTAAATTGGCATCTAAAGATGACTGGCAGGAAATAACCAAAACGTTAGTAACAGCTGCCTCTGAACGCTAGCACCATAGAGACTTTTTTTCCTCCTTTATACTTTTCAAGGTTTTTTTACATTTTCTGAACGTGTACGACTTTTATAATTTTTTTAAGAAAAGAATGAGCGCTCTGAATGGCTTTTAGTTTCTTAGGCCTACGTTTATCCACGGACGCAGATGCAGCCCCTCACGGACAGTGACTCTAAGAACAGTCCGTTTTGTGCTGTGCTGTTTCTTTGGCCAAGTGGACCGATGTCAGGATGCAATTCATTTCAAGGAGAACAAACTGCCCGCTGCCCTTACCCTCAGTGCCAGGAACTGGGAGGACAAAAGTCCAAGGTGGTATTTCTGACAAGCAACAAGTCAACACCTTTGCAAGGAGAAGGCAACTCCTCCACCTGGGCCAGGTCTCCTTGGCATTCGGTCTTTGAGCTCTGGCCCAAAGTTACAGGGTGACAAGCCTGCGTGTGACCCAACTCAAGGCACCAGGATCAGCTTCCATTACAGCCACATGGTAGAAGATGCCAGTTAGTCATCGAAAGTTAAGAAACAATCTCAACCAAAGTTAAGAAAACCCCTCTCTTCACTAAAATTCAGGGGAAAAAAAAAAAAGAAGCCTCAACCCCAAGATTCAAAGATAACATTCTGGTCTGTTCACCTTTATTTGACAATACGTGGGTATTTTTTTTTTTTCCTGTGGCAAAGCTACCATATTACAACACTGTGTAAAATAGGTGCTCTGTCTCCATTTATTAGATCCCAAAAAACTGAACACACCATGACAGTATTCAGCGAAGAGCAGCAGCCAACATTCTAGGAAGCAGATGCATCCACATGTGCTTAAGCAGCCCCCACGGCTCATCATTTGTAGTTTCCCCAATTATTCACATTCTAACTAATGCTGTGCCAAGGGGTTGTTTTCCCCTCTCTTTCTGTGTTTAGAATGATTTCCTTCATTTTCAGAGCTTCAGGAGTTACAATTTTGGTGCCAAGCACAATCGAAAAGGTCTTTGTAACTTACAAGTATAGCCCACATGACACTCCCATGTTTTTTATTTAACCACAATTAATAGTGGCTCCCTTGTGCATCTGATAAAAATTAATACTGTCTGTTAGATAGTTGAAACATTTGCCAAGCAGAGATAAACAAGATGTGGAGGAAAAAATTGGTGTGTTTCCACTTTGCACTTGAAATTGGATTAATAACGGGATGGGGTGTGTGTGTATTTCAGCCACCCCACCCTGAGGTCCAGGAGGTGAATGTCCTGGAGGCTGACAGAGAAACCAGCCTGCTGTGCATTTATTAACACCAAGGCATGATTAGGAAGTGACCGCAGGGGTCTGTGCAGGGGGCCACTTGATAAGGAAATAATGCTGAAAGGAAGAAGCTCTCCCAACAGCTCACTGCACACTTGGGGAGCGGCCTTCCCCTCAGTGCTACTCTGGAAGGGGTGGTGCTACACCAAGGTTCCAGGACATGTGGCATCTCGAAAGTGTAAGAGGATGGAGCTTCGGCAGGCTGTCACTGAAATCAACCATTGGGCAAAAAGCCGAAAGCGGACAGCAGCTTTGAGTCAAGCAGCTGAGTCACAGGGGCAGGCCCTACAGACAGTGGTGTTGGTGGCGGCAAATGAATGAGACAGGGAGATCCAAACGCTGCTCCCAGGGGGGTGCTTCCTGGGAGGACAGAGCAGTGCCAGGAGTGGTTGCAAGGCGGCCCACACCCTTTAAGATGGGACCCAGCACCGAAGTGCTTGAGGGCAGTGGCACCATGTCTGAGTCAGTCTCTTTCCAAGGGGTGAGAACTAGTGTCGAGTGCCAGCTCTGTCCCTGTGGCCTCTCAGGAAGGGCCAGAGTGGTGGCCAGGGGCTGGAGAGGCAGAGAATGGTAGGATGGCTCAGCCAAGAGGCAGAAGCCATTTGGGTGGCAGGCAGAGGCCCTGGGTTAGCCTTAGCAGCACCCGGCCAAGGCACCCACCCTCACATTTGAGACCTTCTCACCCAGAGACTGAGCAGCAGCCTGCAGCCTGCCGGGCTGGCTCTGGGCGGCCCCCCGCAGCCCTAGCGCGAGCACAGAGGCGGGCCTCCAGCGGTACCTGCTCCACTGCACGCTCTCCAAGCCCGTGGCGGCGCTCTTCTCCTCGTCCGTTGTGTTCTGCTCCTGCACGGAGGTGCTGGCCGCCAGCTCCGGGAGCTTGCTGCGCTCCATGATCACCATCTCTATCTCTGGAAACCAGTACAAGGACGGGGATGAGCCCAGACAGCTTCCCAGACCTGGATTTACAGACATACTCATGCTCGAGACGAAGCCCGAGGAAACTGCCCTGAACACGTCAAGCAAACGCTCGACAGGTGACAGGAGCACTCTGTCCTGGGAACACGCTGGGGAGAAATAAGACGGAGGCCAGAACCTCTCTTTCCTCTCATCTGGGCAACGCCAGGAAACAGGGCCCTGACTTCCACAAGAAAGCACAAATTGCCATCATTTATTTCATGATTTTTTTAAGAGGCATTTATTTTACTTTATTGATACCACACTTCCTTCCCAAAGGAGTTGAGGAGTGTAGAAGCAATGATGTGTGGTTAATAAAACATAACCGAATTCACTGAAAATATGCTGAAACTGTTTACATTTCAGAAAAGGCTTTGCCATGAGCGAAGCCTTTTGTTTTCTCTTGCCACTTATTATTTGCGGAAGGCAGAGAGAGGTTAGGGACCTTGTTTTATTTTTCCCGATTAAATAAGGGCACCTTGTAGCAAGCAACTTAAGCATGGTGTGTATTTCTATTCTTCAGGAAAAGGTATGACCCAGTAAAGGAAGCATCAGAGATGGAAAGTGGTTGTGCTGTAAGGCGTGCCTGTCAGAGTTCTTTGACGTGCGGGTATGGACCTCCCAATATTTAGTTCTTGGAACCCAAAGTTCAAGTCATTTCCTCCATCTTTGGGAGACATAATGAGGGGAAAAAAGATGATGAGATGTGAACCCGTATCTCTGTTTCCAGAAGGCTGGGCGCATACCTGGGGCTGCGCCAGCCGCTGCCATTGTCTTCCCTGGGACTCACGCAGGGCCTCCCCCCAGGCCTCTGTTGCCTTTCTTGCCCCTCATGTTCGGCCTCCACATAGACCCAAGTGATTTTAAGTGGGAATTAGCTAGAGTCATCCTTCTGTTCAAAATTCCCCACCGCTTTCCCAGCACGCTCGGGACAAAATCCAAACACCTTCCATGGTGTCAAGGCCTTCCATGGCCTGGCCGCCCTCCACGGCTGACCTCACCGCCTGGCCCTCTCCACCCCATGCCACTCCAGCTGTGCTCAGCTTCTTTCTCGCACTTCTTTGATCGGCCCAAGCTTGTTTCTGTCCCAGGATTTTTACACATTTGTCTCCTCTGCCTAGAATGCTCTCAGCCCAGGTTTTCCCACCCAGGCATGGCTCAATCACGTCACCCAAGGCTCAGCTCAAATGCCACCCCACCGGAGACACCCTCTTCTCGGACACCCTCTCCACTGTTTCGTTAAGGAAACTCCATACTTATTCAGATTTCCTTAGTTTTCTCCTAATATCCTGTTTCTGTTCCAGGCTCCCATCTAGGATACCATGTTATGTCTAATCACCTTGTCTCCTAGGCTCCTCTGGGCTGTGACAGTTTCTCAGACTTGCCTTGCTTTTGATGACCTCACACTTTGAGGAGAACTGATCAGGTATTTTGAGGAATGTCGATCAGTCTGGGTTTGTCTGATATTTTTCCGATAATTAGACTGGGGTTCTGGGAGGAAGGGCACAGAGGGGAAGCGCCCTTCTCATCACGTCATATCAAGGGGACAGGCTGTCTACCTGACTTCTGACTGCTGAAGTTAATCTGCATCTCTTGGTCAGGTTTCTGCCCTGGAGAGTTAACCTTTCCTCCTTTCCTTCCATGCTCTTTGGAAGCAAGTCATTAAGCGCAGCCCCCACTTAAGGAGTGGGGAGTTATGTTCCGCCTCCTTGAGAGGAAGCAGCGACATACAGCATTTGGAATTCTGCCGTAGAGTGGGTCAAGTGAGTCAATTCGCAGAGAACTTCTAAGTCAACAGTCGTCCACTGGCACCTGGACCAGGCTGAGAGCAGAGGGGGCAGACTGCTGGCTGAGAACGGTCACTCTTCCCTGTCCTTGCATCTTCGCCTCCACCAAGCTCCTCAGGTGCCCTCCACGACCCCAGGCTTCTCCACAGTGGGAGCAGACACCTCGGTGGGTATGCAAGATGATTCACTGGGCAGTGCCTTATTTTGAATTATTCTCATCTTTTTAAATACATATATATTTGGGAGATGCATGCTTCAATCATGTATTTATTTGTGTTTACTGATGGGGTGTGCTATCGAAGACATCTGAGACTACCAAGTGAGACTATGGCGTCAGCCTCTGGCTTTTGCCCTGTGACCTTTGACCTGCCTCCCGCACTGCGGCAAGCTCCCCTTCCTCCCTGCCTGGCTGACATGGCGGGAACTCAGCTTCAAGGACTCCCCAAGGTTGCGGGGCCAAGCCCTAGTGCTTTTAGCTTTTTAATCTCCCTGGACACTATCAGAATTCCGGAGCAGAGGGGAGCTCACAGATAATCTAGTCTAGTGCTCATCAAACTTTGTTAAGCAGTAGAATACTAACTTTGAATGACAACCCCCCAGGGCACACCACCACGGTAAGGGATGAGAGCAGAGCTGCTCCAGGTAAAGGGCAGGTGGGTACCCAAATGTCTCCGACCACAGGTTCCCTCACGCACTCCACAGAGGCCCCTAAAGCTCCTTTCTGGAATTCTGGAGCTTCACACAAAACTGCCTGAAAACCACTGGTTTGGCCCTGGATACTGTCTATCAGGAAACAGAACCCAGAAATGCAGTGACTTTTAATACAGCTAAAAGTAGCAGCGAAAGCCAGGACTGCTCCCCCTCGCCACCTCCCACGTCAGGAGGGAGGTGCAGGACCAGGCCCACAAGGCCTCTCCACGCAGAGCACGGTTCCTGAACTTCGGCTGTGTCACCATGGCCCACGCAGCTGCACCCACTGCCCCCGGCCCCACTCCTCGTCCAGCCAGCACAGTTGTGGGAGGAGCTGCTCCACTTGGATCAGTTTTCTAGAAGAACGCAGAGCAGTTCTTCCAATGCCAAAACTGTTTTTTCCCCCTTCTTTTCAACAATTTTATCCAAACAACTCTTAAAAGTAGTGGTTCTTACCTCGGGTCTGCCAACTCCCTGACACTGTATGCAAAGTGCTACGTGGGCATGAGAGGAGTGGGGAGTAGGTTTTTGGGGAGAGGGTCTCCCCAGATTCTCACCATTCTAAAATGGAATGTACAGCCATCTTTAAAAGAGGATGCCGAAGAGGATTTGACCTTTCCTGGTGATTCGGGGTCAAAGGGAACCCCTCTTTAACGCCACACCAGAACGTCTGACATGGTTCTGCATAGCCTTCCGGGTCCCTATGCCCACATCGCCCTGTTGACACCACACCTGCCCCGGTGCAGCCTAGCTCCCTCCCAGGGTGCATGCACATGCGCCACACTGGGGCGAGCGCATCAGTGGGCTCCTGTGGACACAGATGCCCACTGATGGTCGCTGGGGCCAGGACTCAGGATCCGATGATGAATTCCCAGGGTGGCTCCGTCTGAACCTCAGTTACCATACCATGAGCCCCCACCCCAACCAGGTTTCTATTTTGGGGTCTGAAGGGATTGCAGCACTAATCTAGCCGTTTTACTCAGATGTCACTCATTTGCCGGCCTTCACAATTTCTGCCATGTCTGTGTGTGGCCTGGACTCCTTGTTATTTACTTCATCGTTTTATTTGAACTACCCCACTTTGGTTTTTTTTTTTTTTTTTACTTAAATACATTTTAAAAGGAAACTTGAAATCACTACTCTATGCTTCAATTGAGCAATCCAATTTGCAGGAATTTATCTGGAAATACACCTCCAACAATAGGAAAATGCACATACACCAGGGTATTCACTACAGCGTTATCTGTAATTGCAAAATACTGGAAACTACCTAAATGCCCAAGCGTAAAGACTGGTTGAATAAGCTATGGTACACACAGTGCAACTGTGAAAAGGAATGAGGAAGATTGCTGTGAACAGATATAGAGTGATTTCCGGAGATACTGCTAATAAGCGATGAGAGCAAAGTGCCAAAGAACATACATACAGTGTGCTACCCTGTGTTTAAGACAGAAGGGAAAATAAGAAAACATTCATAAATCTGCTTCTTTTTATAAAAAGAAACACAGGAAGGATATTCTAGAAAATAATCAAGTTGGTTATCTACAAGAGGTGGGGGGAGTGGGATGGAAGAAATATAGGAGGAGAGACACTTCTTTGAACATAACTTTTTGCATGTTTTTGAGTTTGTTAATATTCTGTATATTTTGAAAAAGAAATCATTAAGAATGGGAAGGGAGAACCCTAAACTGGGAGGAAAAAAAAGAACCCAAATTTATTTCAAACGAATAAGAAGATATTCAAATTTGCTTCACCTGAAGGAGGAAAAGAAAGCCAGGCAGGACAGAGTAACCCAAGCAGCTTATGAACACAAGCCTGACTCTCCCCTCTCAGTGTGGGGGCAGGTGAAGCTCTGGGGGTGGGGGGTGGGGGGAGAATTGCAAACAATCCTCAACTCTTTGCTCATTAAACAATAAACAATTCTTAAAGCATTTTAGATGTATTATAGGATTGAGCAGATGAATGTGCTGATGTCTTTGGGAACCAGGGTGTTCACTGTGGAAGAAGAGACACAGAACTCTGGAATGGAGGGAGGCGGGAAAGAGCCCTCTGGGAACTGCCCGGAATTGGAAATATTAGTACAAACTTGTGATTTCTAAAATATGTCTATGCATGTTTGTATGTATGTACATGCGTGCTTGAATAAATGTGTATTTTGTGTATATCCTCGCATGTATTTCCTAGCTCTGTCCATTGAAAGGGGCAAAAAGCAAGACAGCCCAGCAGCAATGAGCACATCCGGTGCTCAGACTGTGGCCTCCAATACCATCGCCTACTGAGAGGAACCAAGGCTTTGCAGAGTAAGAGCTCATCCCAGGGATGGCAGACAGGTACAAGGTGAACCTGGAATACCTTGTTACGCCAGGAAGTAGAAGGACTGCTTGGAAAAAGGATGGGGGGCTTATCACGGCCAGGACCGAGCAGCCAGCTCGAAAAGGCTCCCAAAGGCCAAATCTGGGACAACTTGAGCACTAAAT